CCTGGCGTCCACATATGTGGACGTCACATTTTGGGTTCTCTAGACCACAATACTAACTTTTTCTCAACAAGGGCCTGGTGACCACATTAGAGGACATTATTCTGCCACTTAGTGGTGGGAGAAGAGTGTAACACATTACAGATTAGATTCTAGATAGCAGACAACACACCCAGATGTTCAAATGGCCACTCCCGATCCCAACCCTGCCCTGGTAAAAAATTCAATCAAATTTCATGGTTGATTCTTGTTCAAATATGTATAAAAGTATTCAATCTTTGTTATGGAAGTAAAATTTTACAAAAGTTAGGAACTGTAATGATTTACCATGCCGCTAAACATGATGTCCACATATGTGGACAAAGGGACTTAGTTTTGTTAGTTAAGAAGCAGATGTATATGACTGGTACAGTTATGAGGCATCGGGTCGCTGCAGCAGTGCAGAAGCTACCAACTGACAAAAAAATGAAAAAGGACGGAAGAGGTACCTCAGCACAAGTTACCACTGAGGATGGAAAGATTTGCGTGGTAAAGTGGTATGACAATAAACCGGTATTGATGATGTCTGCTGTTCATGCTAGAGAGCCAGAAAACACCTGCCAGAGATGGGACAAAAAACAGAAACGATATGTGACCATCCCGCGACCAAGTATTGTCCATGAATACAACTCCAAGATGGGTGGAGTTGACCTTGTTGATGAGTTACTATCGAATGAATGGCCATACAAAGAAATGGACATTGAGGATGCTAATGCACTTTACAGATCTGGCTTTAGCCAACGGCTGGCTACTGTACCGCAAGGACCTCACTGTATGTGTCACACCAAAGAAAAACATCATGCAGTTCCTTGAATTTCGAATGGAAGTGGCCATGACCTTCTTGACTCAGCGTGACAATGACAACAACAATTCTGACTTTTCAGAGCCGGAAGATGACCCAGACATTTTAGTCCAAGGGAAAAAGCGTCCAGTGAAGGCAGTCCCCCATGTCTCAATCCGCAGGAGGGCTAATGCACATCTGCCAGAGGCAGTAAACTTGAAGAATGCAGCGCGCTGCAGAGCAAAAGGCTGCTCAGGGAAAACTCGAGTGCAGTGTGGTACATGCAAGGTTTTCCTCTGCTTACAGGCAGGTCGCAACTGTTACAGAGCCTTTCACACATAGGTGTAAACATGTTCCAATGGGGAAAAAAAATAGTTTGAAAATCTTTGTTACAGACATACGTCTTTCTGCAACTGTTTTACAGTACTTCAAATGAGCCATATTGCTCAAAGGGGCACAATTGTTCCGTCTCATTTTGTTTTTGCACTCAGGAAAATGCTGCTGTGTTCTGGCACCAAATAAATAGTTTTACATAATTACTCAACTGTGACTTTATTGGTTTCTATCTAAATTGAAGACGAATGTCCTCATATGTGGACATCATTTTTCTCAGAAACTACATCATGTAAAAACATAATTCTTTGTTGTTACACTCATCAGGTCCCAATCAGCCTAAATAGCAAAGAGAAATTAAAAATGCACGCCATGCAAGAGTTTGGGTCTTAGGAGGTTAAATATGTTTTCAGTTTGTCATTGTGAATAAGAAAATGCAGACTACTCACTTAAAATAAAAATTTAATGTGCAAAAAAGTGTGAAAAAAGCAAAGGGTTCTGAACACTTTCTGAAGCAACTGTATCAACATAGCTTGGTGTACTCACCTGTACTACCAGCCGTGGAAGCCCGCAGGTCAGCATGCCCGAGCTGAAGTACCATGTCTGTGTGGTGCTGCGGCGTGAGTCTGGCCTCCTCAACATCAAAGGCTCAAAACTGGGAAAGAAGAACAGGTAGGGCGAGACACCCCTCTTACATCCAATTTTTCATGATAGATTTCCTTTCAGTTTATGGTCCAGTGTCCAAAATTGACTGTAAATGATTCCTGAGAATTATCTGTTGTGTAAACCTTATCGCGCCATACAACTGCACACAGTACAAACCTGTTGTCACTAACGGCTGCAAGCCCTGCGATGTCCAGCACCAAAGAGGAGTCGAGTGGGCGTGGCTGGGCTGGCTTGCTCTGCGGTGGAGACGAGCCTTCATGACACAGCATACCAGTCCCAGTCATCCTCCATAGCTGGGAGCGCTTCCCTGGCTCCTGCACAACAATTAACGTAAATGTTGGTACACATTCAGTTATGTCTCAGTGTTGATTTCATAGGCTGCAATGAATGAATCTTCTTTTATTAGGGCCCGAGCACCCAAGCTTTAATTTACATTATTCTTTTCACCATAACATTCTTTTTTTGGATAATCAGCTCAACTTTCAGGCTAGAAAAACTGTCAATCAGTTTCCCTTCATCTTGATGGTTATTAGACATTGCATTTACCCTGTATAGTAGTATAGTTAATTGTGTTGCTGAGTTGTGTTCTTTGAAGAAGGGTGTGGAGAACCATTGAATCAAGAAGTCACGGCTTCTGATATTAGACTGGTCATAATAATCAATAAATTCATTCAATAATGATGATGAGAAGAGGTGCCCCCAACTAATGAGAATTTTTAATTATAATATATATATATATATATATATATATATACGTATACGTTGGGAGACGTTGAGAACTGGTTTCCACTCGCCCTGAATTTATTTCCTCTGTGGCAGGAGAACAGGGAGTTGACACAGTAGAAGAAAACAACTGAATAATAGTCTACTTAAGTAAGCAGAGTTGTGTATATAAGCAGTACTGTTCATACTGTTCATACTGCACCCTGGGGCGCCCTGGTGGCTCACCTGGCAGAGCGCCTACCATGAAGGCTTACTCCTAACCGCAGTAGATGGGGCCCTTAGCGGCATGTCATCCAGTCTGACGTTCCTGTTTCTCTCTCACTATCGCCATCGGAATAAAAATAACTTAAAGAAAAAAAGTGACCCTCCTGACATTGTAAGGAGAAGACGGTAAGAACTGAGCTCTGGAGAAGACGTGTACAGAAAAAGACAAGGTCTGTGATTTGGTGTAGAAAAAAAATCATCCTCCGTTGTTTGGAAATTATAAAATAATAAATATTATGTGAAGTAACTGCATCTTCTACATCCATTTGGTATTATTATGGTGATTTTTGGAGAATGCTTAATTTTCACGATTGCTACACTTAAAGTTATAAGATGTAACTTTTCCACATTAAAATGTCTAAAAAATACTAGTCATTATTTTTACATTTTTTTGATTATCCCAAAAAATTATCCCATTATCCCAAATGTTTCCATCAATTCTCAAACTAGAGAAATCTGTGATTTTAATCATGGTAACGTTTCATTGGTTGCCTGTCAGTGACATCATATCCTCTATGATCATGTGTCAGTGTGTTTGTCCGAGAGAAGCTCAACATTGACTTTTATCTAGTTTTAAGCCACATACACTTTTTACACCTTGGTGGTTTACAGCTCTATATTTGAACCAGATGAAGGATTTTAGTCATTGGACGTCTGGATCTGAAGTTATCAGGGAAACAAACTGAGGAAATGTTGGACAGCTCAGCTCCCAGCTGCTGGAGACGTCCTGTCCTGTGTCACTGAAGAGCATCAGTGAATCTCTGAAGTTTAAATGTCAAACTGCTTTATTCACTGTTTTTAACCATATCATGCAGTCCTAGAGAACATTCAGACCATTTTTATTTGACTAAAAATTACTAAAGTTGTTGTTGATTAAATTTCTAGCAATCGACAACAATTAATCAATCAAATGATCAATTCAGCGCTACTTTTTTCACTCTTCCCCTCTGAATTTGCATGACAATAATACTCAGACAAAAGCAGACGGTGTGACTTTTGGGGGATCCCCACCACATACAGATCAAAGTCTGTTTGTTTATTCTGGGTTATTTCAAACTAAAAACTTTTACCTTCTTTTTCAAGATGACCCTTTGAGTCTTGGTGTCCACATCAAGAACTAGTTCAGCACAGCTCACCAGACGCTTCTTTCCAACAGGTCGCTTCTCAGCATTCCTGCAACAACAGAATGATGCTGCCTATTTTCATAATTTTTTCAAATTTCATAACTTTTCTATATGAGAAAACCTAATGATATAAAATGATATTCTTATTAGTTCATTATGACGTTGGTCCATACTGTGAGAAAGTGTGTGTGGCTGCGATGTAGATGAAGTTCTCGTAGTAGAGCTTGTTGTATTCTCTGAAGAAGTTCATGTCAGCTGTGACCTCTGAGGATCCAGCTCCCTTTACGGTCAGTGTGAGGTAGGGGGGCAATGTGGGCTCATCACAGGCGTAGTCCAGCTCTGAGCCTGCCTTCACCTCAGTGTGCAGCCGGATGTCAGCCACACCATGCTGCCAGAACTGGATAGGCACCTGAGGGGATTAAAACGATGGCATCTATTATATGTATTAGGGGAGTATGTCAACTGCCATTGAACAACAAAAGAAGAAGAGCCCCTTTCTACTGGGCACTGGTAAAATGCATGTGCCACTGTGAGATCGGATGCTGCTTTACAAACAGGAAAAACATGCATAGCCAAAGACAACTACAGCTGTCAAAACATTCTGTGTGGAACTCAGTTCAGTGCAAACTCTGCCTGGTAAAGCTAGCATTTCGCTACCAAAACTACGCACAATACCATCACTCAGGTATGTTCAGAATTTAAACTTGTTCAAAATCATTATCAGTATCATTATGGCTTAGTATGACAAAAACAGAAATAAGTCATTTTCCTTTATTCTGTGGTGCTGTTGGCATACATGATTTTGATAGCTTTTGTGAGGTCTGAGTCATGGACCATGTCGCCTCACACATACTGAGCAGTAGTATGACAGGCTGCTCCCCAATAACCGGAAGATATACGATCAGTTTCTGTCTGTGATCTCTTTGAGGACAGTATGAAAGTGTGCTCTGTTATTCTACACTACAAAGACAAAGAGTTCATGGAGAGAGATCAGGGGGTCCAGTTAGTGATTCAGGCACAGGCATTCTTTTTTCTTGAGCAATTATGTTGACCCCTTAGTAACAGGTCATGTTAATGAAGCTGTCATCACAGTGGCTTACCTCAGACATGTTGTCAATGCGGAAGGGTGGAGGCAGTTGGTCAGTGTCAGTGAAGGAGATCTGGTAGGTGGCTCCCTTCAGGGTGATCTCTGTCCGAAGGAAGAAACAGTTCCCCAGTGTGTCCCTGTTCAAACAAAGATCCATTTAAAACCTCTCAATCCTTCACTTACTGTACCTCAGTGAAAGCACACTCCCACTTGGTGGAATTTATTTTACAAATTCATCAATCCTTACAACATGAAAAAAACACCCAGCACAAAGTTTCAGTAGCACAACATATAGGCAGACTAAAAACATTACATAATATAATATTATATAATATTACATAATAATGTACGGATAAATAACAGTTGTTGTATATAGCTCACCTCATGTTGACATGGAATGACTTTGGTTTGTTGACCTCAAAGCCCCCAGACCAGGTGCAGTCAGGGGTGTCCATGAGGCGCACACACAGCAGCTGGTCGTAGTCATTGCGGGGCCAGTGGAAGACAACGCTGGAGCCCGGCAGGGTGGAGATGTAAGCCTCTGGGTTGGCCGTACCCTTGGACAAATGAATGAATGAATGAATGAATGAATTATTGTATTTACTGGCCCAACCCTGTAGGTGAAACTAGTTGTAGTTTATTGTACAGGTTCACTGGAATCACTCACTTCATCTTTTACTTAGTCACTAAGTATTATATTTATTTTCTCTTACTGCGGTGAAAAAGCAATGTATCCCTATACAGACAGAAAATGGTGAAAGAGAGAGGAAGGGTGGGAAACAAAGTCCTTGGCTTGAATTGGAGATGCTGTGATTAGTGTAGAAGATATGCGTCTTAACTATTAGGCCAGAAGAACAACCAGAAAAATGAGATCCTCACCTTTCCTCTTGCAAACTCTCTCTGAGCGAAGGCCAGTTTGTGTGTGGAGCGGTTGTCCAGCAGGTAGCGAGGGGCAAAGGTCACTATGTGAGTGTCCCTGTAGCGTCCTTTACCTTTTCGCACACTGATGCCTGTGTTGATCAGACAGAGAACAATAAATGCTTGAAAAACATTTTATTGGCTCTAATCTCCAAAAGTAAAGAATTTAGGTCAAGATAAACTGCATGTTGTACAGTAAATGCATCAAAATATCAGACACAGTTTGAAATTGAAGGAGTGCTGCTTTATGCCAAATCATGTAGTCCACTCATAGACTTACTGACAGGAGAGGTAAGAAATTCAATTCATCTGGACGCATCAAAACTTTGACAACCAGAGTCTTTGGAGGTTGTGAATCAGTTATAATAGACTACAATTTAGCTCATTGCATTTTTCTTTTTATATGCCTTTGAAGAATGAGTTACTGTAAACAGGAAACTAAACCTTTAACTTTACAATGCTGAACACAAGCTGGAAAACTGTGATGTCATGAACTATGGCAGATACAGGAGCAAAGCAGGCCATTATTAAGTTGTATGCAAATGTTTGGGCAAGCACAGGCTGTCTTATACACACCGCTTATCTAAACATCTCCCCACAGGCTCTCAGTGATGTTCAAGTCCAAAAGCTTCAGCTTGTCTTTCTTCAAGTAGTTCATTGTGGATTTTGTGGTCTGCTTTGGACCACTGATATGTTGTAGAACCCAGCCTCTTTTCAACTTTGATGTGACTATGACATTTGCACCCAGTATTTGCTGATATTTAGTGGAATCTATGGAATTAATCTGTGCAGTGTCCCCACTGTTCCCATCCTGAACAACTTACAATTTCCTTTGGTGATTGTGGCCAAAGAGCTCAATGTGAACTTCATCAGTCAACAGCACTTTCTAAAACCACTCTGGTTTAGTCAGATGTTGCTATGCAGACTTCAAATGTTTTTGTGATGAGGTTGCAGGTAAAGTCTCCTTCTGATGACTCCTCCCTGTTGTGCATCAGCAGTGGAATGGTGCACCACCACTCATGTGTCGGCTAAACCTTCCAGCAGCTCTTCTGCAGTCATATGGAGATTTTCCTTTGCCTTTCTACCCAGCCCACGTTTAGTTTTATCTTATCGTTTTCTTGGTCTTTCAAATTTTGTCTTGACTCCCACAGTTCCTCTTCACTGTCATTTCTAAATAACAATGTACATTTCAAGCTGAAAATGCTTTGATATCTCATAAAGCAGTCAGCGTCATTTACATATACTCAGGCAGTTGCTTAAGGGAGTCCATGATTGAAAAGTCAGAGAATTTATCAGCTCAGGAAATGTCATCAGCTGACAATTTTCTTTCCTTATCTTAAAAGTCCAAAGGAGTTAATGAAGTTCTGAACGAAGTGTTTTACAAGTGGCAGGGTGCCCAAATTTCTGTAAATGCCACAATCACAATTTTTTTAAAGGTCATGAAATGAAAAGTAATGTCAGTGCATTAACATTTGAAAGGCTCTTTGTTTATGTTTCATGTCTGTTTGCTGCACAGATGGATTTGCTTTTTTTAACTATAAATATCAACAAAATTGGAATTTGGCCTGTATAAATACTTTTAGGCTGTTCCATAATGTCTCTCTGGTGTAGAGTTGATCAGAGTTAAATAGGCAACACCAACTCATTAAAATGATCTTCCCTGTGGTCTGAGCATCCAGTTCAGGGCCAATCCCAAGTATCGGATGGGACACAGGATTGATCTTAATCATGTGTGTTGGACATCATTACACCACACAGTAGCTGAGTTAGTGCTATCTATTTGTACTGATTGTGAATGTACCAACTTGCCTATGTTGTAGATCAGGCCAGGCCTGTTCCCGTGCTGTATAACCTTCACTGCCCTGACTCCACTCCCTCCATCCAGGGAGAACCCCTGGCACCAGCCTGGAACTCCGTCTGGGTGGATTCCTTTCCCGATCCGCATAGTACACCTGAGATCAAGATAGACGGGGAGAGAATGTAATTTAAGGACAGATGAATAAAAACACCAGGAGGATGTCTGTTGGGTAGAACAGTGCTCACTCACTAAGACATTATGTACAATCCAGATCAAAAAATGGAGTGGTCTGGTCTCTGGCACACACTTACATAGCGGGCTGCTCCTTGTCCGTGTAGCAGAATAGTAATGGACTGAGACTTCGAGCCAACTCGTGCTCCTCAAACTGACCCCCTGCATCGGCTTTGCCATTGTCCTGACGGAAAATTAGTGGCAGACCTGAGGGAGGAAATGTCTTTAGGGAGTGATAGCTGGGAACTTAGTATGTAAAGCAATGACTGAGTTGGGTATTTACTTGTGATATCTGTGCAAGTGTAGTTTTTAATAATAAAGACAACATTACCAGTTTTATTGATAAGCCAGTAAGGGGCAGAAATTAGGATTTTCAGCGCCCCCTGTGCCCGCAGGATGATGCGGATGGTGAGGCAAAGCAGACGTTTGTTGGTATCGTACAGTCGCATGCGTACCACATAGTTCTGAGTCCCAGGGGGAATCAGCAGCTCTTTGCACATGGGGAAGTTCTCCAGCAGGACTCCTGAAGGACACACATCATTAACACCAGGAGTGAGAATGGATAGGAAATACAATTCAGTGACAGACATTTGGAAAGTCCTGACCTAGTTCCATATTCTGTGAGGTGTCGGCTGCGTGAAGTATGGCCTCTTTTCCCGGCTTCAGTGAGCCTTTGATGGGCGTTCCTTTGATGTAGTAGTTGAGGTCACATGGCAGCAGGTTGGCCAGCACCATGGTGGGTAGCAGGTAGATGGTGTGGCCTGGCTGTCGATAGATCTGCTTTGCACTGCCAGAAACTCTCTTAGCGGGCTGCTGGTCTGGGTAGTTTTCCTTTTTGATGACCACACAAAACCTGCAACATGCAGAGAAATGAGGGGAATGGTAGCACATTTGAGGAAGAAAACAACCAAGAACAAAGAATCTCAGTGACTGTTTTTACCTGAAGTTACGCTTGAGGTTATCATCAAAATCTGCTGACTGACACTCCCTCTTACTGCTGCTGATCTCTCCTTGCCGCTCCACACTGGTCCAATGGATGGGAACCTTACAGAAGAATAAGCCCAAGCCTTTAGGCCGAGCCTGTAGCCGCCAGGATGTCAGGTGGAGGGGGACTGCCAAGGCCTGGCCAGGCAGGATAGGAGGCAGAACCACTGGTTCTGTCAGTACAGAGACACAACTGACTTCATTAAAATGACAAAACACAACATGACATAAGATAAAACTAAATGAAGAAATAAACAAATAATATATATATAAATATAAAAAACAAAACAAATTCAAACAAAAAAGATCATATAAAACAAAATCTATAAAAATAATTGAAACATTAAATACAAATAATATGGATTAAGCTAAATATAATTAATTTAATAAAACAGAAGTTTGAAGTACTTATATTTAAATGCAATAAATATAAAAAATGAAATAAGACAGGATAAGATTAAATTGAAAAAAGACAACGCAATAAAGGACAATGAAATGATTATATAAAACAAGATAAAGATAAAAATGAAATACATGCAAAACAAGATTTTATGGTAATTTAAATAAAACAATCCTATCAATTAATTTCATATGATATATGTCAAATAAATAAAGGTTAAAAAAACAAATGATACATAAATGATAATTTTTTTCTTTTTTTTTACATTTTAAGCAAAATTAAATAAAAATGTAATTCAATATAATCTTTAATTTCATATAGTTATATTTAATTAAGTTTGGTTATAATATTAAAATAGATATAATCAAATAGGATAAAATTACATTCCATAAAAAAACACTAGAAAAGACGAAAGAACACTGAATAAAGTTAAATAAAGAAAAAAACATAACATAAAATTCATAGAATATATAAATCTTAATTGAACAAAATAAGACACAATAAAATGGTCCAGCCAGTCCACAGGTTATTTAATTGATTGATTATTTTATAGGGACCTAAAATGGAACGGAAACAAATAAAAAGGAGCAATGTCTTACTGTCAGGAGCAGAGGGACTGTCCAGTCTGACCTCCATGGGAACATCTAGCCGGTTCTTCACCATGAGGGCAGAGCGCACAGTGATGACCTTCCTGGCACTGCCCTCCATTGTGATGGAGAACACCACTCTGACAGGAGGCAGGGCCGAGAACTGAGGGGCCAATGGGATTCACACAGAGTCACCATCAGGTTTAAATTCATACTGAGCGTTTGTGTTGAGCCTTAGAATCGACTGTAACACCTGCTTCTCTCCTGTAGATCTCTCTGAGCTGCTTTCAACAGTTTCTTGTCTTGTCTTCTAGACCCTGTTCCAACCAGGCAATTCAAGGATGTTTTTCCTTTAATCAACACTTTGTAGATCTGATCAATTTATCTTTATTAACAGGTTACGTACCACTGGCTTTTAATTGCTGTTTTTTATTGCTGTAATTAAACCTCTACTCTTGACCTGCATGTTTTAGAAAATTTCAGACCCATATTAAACCTCTTCTGTATTCCTCAAATCCTTGAAAAAGCTGTTGCAAACCAGTTATGTGATTATTTGCACAGGAATGGTTTGTTTGTCTCTATACTTGTTTTACTAGATCTTAGAACTGCATTTTACACCATTGATCACAGGAGACTAGAACATGTTATTGGCATTAAAGGAAATACACTACGCTGCTTTGAGTCATACTTATCAGATAGATTCCAGTTTGTTCATGTTAATAATGACTCTTCTATGCACACAAGAGTGAGTCATCGACTTCCATAAGGTTCTGTGCTTAGACTTTTCTCCCTGTTTATCCACATAAATTTCCATTGCCATGCATATGACACCCAGCTGTGCTATAAGGCCAGATGAGACTAATCAGGTTGGTCAAACTTTAGAAACATTCTGTCTCAAAAGGATGCTGAAAAACTAGTCCATGCATTTGTTGCTTCTAGACTGGAGTGAATGTCCCAATAACTCAGTGAAAAGCCTCCAGCTGATTCAAAATGCTGCAGCAGAGTACTGACAGGAACCAGGAAGAGATCAAATCTCTCTGTGTTGGCTTCATCAGCTCCCTGTAAAATCCTCCTCCTCACCTACAAAACTGTCAATGGTCAGACACCTTCTTATCTTACAGAGCTCATAGTTCCCTATTATCCTAAGAGAACACGCTGCTCTCAAAATGCAGGGCTCCTTGGGGTTCCTAGAGTTTCTAAGACTAGAATGGGGGCTGGCTCAGGTGAGTCCTGAACCACCACCCTAGACTGCTGTGGGGACTCCAATAATGCACTGCTTCCTCTCTCTCCCTCGATCATTTTCATCATACTACTGCATGTCATTAACTGAAAATACTTGCAGCATCTTCGATCTGTGTATTATACAGGGCCTTTATTTGTTCATGCTGGCCACTATTTAAAAACCGGCTTGGTATCCTGATGAATAATGAGCATAACAGCTGCAACTGTGGCTACAGACTTTTCTAATCGCTTGCTGTCATTGACTGCTCCCTGATCTAGACAAGACAAGACAAGACTTGCCATACTTACATAAACATGCGGGTGGATGATGTTGGTCCTGCTAATAGGACTGCCAACCTGTGAAATGTTTAAAAAGAAACGTTTAACGTCAAACTCCAGGCCAGTTTGTTAGGAACCCTTCAGATTATCAACATGGTTTTTGACTCATGCTTACAGTGTTGGAAGAGTTGTTTCTATCTGGAGCTGCATAACGGAAGAAAACACCCACTTTGTCCACAGACACTGGCTTGACTTGCTCCCATCCACACACGCGAACCAGCAGCTGGTGCAGCTTCAGCTCATGAGTGTGTCTGCAGAGGACAAGGCAGAAAGGGATCAGTGATACATAATCATAATCTATGAAATGAAGTTGTAAAGGAACACAAAAAACATTTCTCCACTCCACCATTTATACTAGACTGAGTGTTATAGTTAAGTTACACAGGCCAAAGCACTGCATAGTGCATAGTCAACATAAATTACATTTAATTGCTTAAAAATAGGCTATAGTAAATTTCAGCCTTAATGATTATATTCATATTATTCATATTTATCACATTTTAGTAAGTATAACAGAAAAAGGAGAAATTAAGACAAAGACAAATCTGACATGAAAGAGAAACCTTATACCATTAAATGACAGTGTGCAGATTACCCGTGCATATCATCTTGTAAGCAAAGCAGAGAAACGTTAAATGTCGACAAACCACTGAGAATGATGGCTAAACATGTCAGCAGTTTCATAAACAATTTCAGATTCACTGGACTACATCCACAGGTGTGGTGAATTTGAATCAAGAGCTGTACCGGTGGCGGAGTTTCTCTCGGGCTTCAAACTCAAAGGGAATCTCCTCCCCAGGCAGCACCTCTCTCCATTGGCTAATGTTGTGAGTGTCATCAGTTCCTGGACCATGGAAGTCTGAGATGGAGTCTGCACTACTGCTGTGTGACAGTGCCACCCTGTGGGAAACATGTGAATAGTTTTAACTGAAGACATTTATCTGAGATCAGTTTCTACACTGATTGAAAGTGTCTGCTGGGAAGAACCCTTTCATATGTCTAATTTAATGTTCTCTACATATCTTCATACCAGAAATAGTCAAATCTTTCAGAGATCACTGGTAGGAGAACTGAAAATGTTTGTTCTCACAGTGGTGCTAGTAGAAAGGCCGGGGATCAATGTCAAAAGCTAATGGGAGCGTTGGGAGCATGGATATTATGTTAACATGCAGTAACATGCATTATTACAGTACATCAAGAGATACAGTACCAATCTAAACTTTGGACACACCTACACCTACCGTTCATCGGTTTTTATTTATTGTGACTAAATTCTACATTGTAGAACAAGACTGAAAACATCAGAACAAACAGAAATAACACACATGGAATTATGTAGTGAACTTGATGAGGTCGTCACCTGGAATGCCTTTCAATTAACAGCTGTGCCTTTTCAAAAGTTAATTAGTGGAATTTCTTTCTTTCTTAATCATGACTTTAAGACATGAAGGTCAGTCAATCCAGTACTTTGAAGAACTTCGAATGTTTCTTCAGGTGAAGAGAAAGAATAGCTTGGGCTTAGAAACACAAGGACTGGTCATTAGACCAGTGGAGATCATCTGTCTGATCTGTTTCATCTAGATCTATAAACTTCTGTTTGATCTGTTTAACTTATATCTTCATCTTCTGCTGCAGCAGAACTTGATCCACATCACGTTAAATCTGAATAAATATATTTAAACATTTAATCCAACAAACAGCAGGTTCCATCTGTCATGGAAATAAAAATCTGATAAATAACGTGGTCTAGTGGATGACGCTGAACAAAATGAAATAGTTTGAACTAAATGACTATTTTCTCCAGCTCCTTCACTGCTGTTGCTGTTTTTTTTTTTTTTTTTTTTTTTTTTTTTTGTTTTTTTTAAAGGTAAATGTGCTAATGTGCTAGGTAAAGCCACTAAGCTTCCTGATTTGTTCAAGTCAAAGCACCTTCAGTTTGGATCCTGGTCTATTTGCTTGTCCGGTTCACTTCATATGTGTCAAACATGTTCTAACTCCACTTTGTAGTGCATGTACTTTAGTTGTAGTTACACCTACCTTGTGGGGGTTGTAGTCAGAGTGGCAAACCACATGGTACATCCTGTGTGGTTGCACAGAGCATATGGCACAAATGGCTGCCTCCGCTTGGACAGCTTGACATCTGCTGGAAGCAGAAATAAAAACCAAATCAGAGAGAAGATGAGTGTGCTTGGCCTTTTTACATTATTCAATACTAAATTCATTAGCATATGTTGGATTCCAACAGTCATGCGCTTCATTCGTCTTGGGCTGTGCTAAAAAGTAGCCAAAGCACACGTGCTTTGAAATTCTTTCATGGCAGATTCGCAATTATAACAGTATAACTAGTTATAATTGGCTTGGCCTATAGCTCCTTTTTGTGTTCTACACATGAACATACACTCACTGAGCACTTTCCTCTGAGACTCTGCTGCTCATTTCTGCTGATTCATGCTGCCAATCTCCTGTTCTACCACTTCCCAAAGGTATTCTACTGGATCCAGATCTGGAGACGGGGGGGGGGTCCACGTCAAGGTTGGTCATGATCAAAGTCACTGATATCACATTTTTCCTCATTCTGATGTTGTGAACATTAACTTAAGCTCCTGACCTGGATCTGCAGGATTTTATAACTAAATTCATATATATATATGTATGTATATATATATATATATATATAATATTTTAAGTGCTCAGTGAGTGTACAGTATACTGATCAATATGTGGCATTGAAAATATTAACTGAAAGCACATTACAAATGGAAATTTGTAGATCAAAAATGATTTTGCAGTCCCTAAAAGTGAAATGAACACAATGTTGCATTCTATAGCATTTTGCTACATATGTACAATGACATGTAATGTTACTGTTTTTACAAAATGCCAGAAAACTAATGTTTAACATACAATATATTATACCACTATATATACCGCAATGAATGAGTAAATCTTATTTAATTATCTTACTTAATAAAAATAAATAAATAAATAAAGAAGCGAACTGCTATTATTAAACAAATATGTCAGCAAAATAACTTTTTGGCCAACTTACAATACAGAAAAAAGGCTGCTAACAGTTTAACCTTTGTGTCCATTTTTGTTTATATTTAGCAGATGGTAAAACTTTGCTTAAATTCCTTGAATATTGTGTGTGTGTGTGTGTGTGTATATATATATATATATATATATATGTATGTAAAGTAGTATAAAAACTAATGGAGACAAAGATACTAAATTGCATAATTGCGCACTCAGATTATGGATGTTGTGAAGCACACTAGTCTGCTATGATCCAACAAAATGTGCAACACTACAAAAATCTTGGAAAACCACTGTGCAATAATGTCTTCCCAACAACTGGCCATGCAGTGGAAAACAAATGATGAACAAGTCATGCTGTTCAGGCAAACTACAGAGCAGAAAGGAACTTAAATTGCTCTGGAAGAGGAGGAAAGACAAGACAGATGTATTTATAATTATAGTGAAATCTAGGCTGATTTGAAACTCTGTAGTCATTACTACTCAAAATTGCAACACCACTGAATGTAATAATAAAGCCTGACAGGCAGCTTAACAAATGCTTTTGTGAGACTAATGTGCTTAGCTATTTCAATATGAGGGCAGAGTGATAAATGTAACTAATGAGTTACAAATGTAAATGAGAAAAATCTTTTAAATATCTATTTTTGCTCAGATTTTCATTTGATTTTTGTTACTCTTGCTGGATATACTGTAGTTGAATATAGTTTAGCTT